CCAAAGTCCTCTTTGCTGCTCGTTCAACCTCTGCACTTGCAGAGTTAAGCTCTTGGCATGGCTCTGCTCAGGCAAGACCAGCCAGCTCCCCCTCCATCAGCGTGGGGCTGCTGGTCACAGCAGCATCCCCATCTCCTGTGGAGAACAGCAGCTCCCTCCCCCTTGCTTGGCTGCATCTCCCATGCAGCTTCTCCAGCCCTTGCAGGATTTCCATCTGAGACTCCACATGGGCCACAGATTAAAGCCACCAGCAATAGAAGTCTCTCCAGCCTACATTAATTCTGCCTGGACTAAGATTACTGGTAGTGTAGTGGAATTGTTCTAGGAGATCTAGTCATGGTTTAGAAGCTAGACAGATTTACTGTGGTTTTGTTTTAGGTTTACAGAGCTGAGATACAGAAAGCACAAAGCTGCCTTGGAACCTCACTCACACCTGTAGCGAGGGTCTCCCACCACCCTGGAGAGAAGGAGCCCACCAGGGTTGGTTTCCTTCACACACTTGGGCTTTTTCTTCACCCAGGAGCATCATCACACATCAATACAGACAAATAACCCCAAGCCACATAGGAATAGAGATGTGAGGGAAAAGACTGGGAGACAGAGGCATGAAAACAGGGGCCAAGAACATCACTGCATCCAGAAACCCAAGGTATGTCCTGCCCTGGTGTCATCCTCCAAGGCCATTGCCACCACACAGGGGCACTGGTAATAGGTAAGAAAAGCAGCTAAGTTGCTCTCTGCCTCCAGGAAAAGCAGCAGGACTCTGCAGTTTGGGGCAGCCAGGGGGGATTTGGGAATGTTGTGCAACCTCCACCAGCATTAGGTGGAGCACTCATACCTCTGGGCCTGGCACAGGCTCCTGCACACCCCCAAGCACAAGCACAGGAGCTCCACAGCTCAACCTCAGCTGTTCTGAGAGCACAACTGCTGCAGCAGCTCCCAGAAGAGAACCAGTGCCACTGAAGTGCCACCTTCAGACAGCAAGGAAGAGGCAGGGCCCTGCAGCAGGGACCAGCCCAGCCCCAGGGTCTCAGGCTGGGAGCGTGTTTAACCCAGCACAGGGAAGACAACAGCTCATCCTCACTCTCACCTACAAACCCAGAGAACCTCTGCAGCCACAAAACCATCAACCAAAAACCTGAGTCTCCTGGTGAGCCCAGACACATCTGCTCAGAGCACAGCCCCCACCAGCAAAGCTTCCCAGCCTCACTCCAGCTCCAAAAAACCCTCCACAAAGAGACCCACCTACCCCAGAGCAAGCAGCAACTCCAGCAAGGCACCAACCCTCCAGGTGCAGCAGCTTTATAGGAGCTGTTGGCCCTGAAGAAGGTTCAACAGGGGCCAATTTCCTGGTGGGGAAGCAAACATTGTTCTCTCTGAGGTGTTTGATGTCTTTAACCAGCTTGGGATGGAAGGAGTTTGACTCTCCAGCTCCCTATGAGAAAGTGGAAGGAAACCATGTGAGTGTCTTGAGGTTTGTTGTCTTAACTCAATTAACCAATTACTTCCAGGTCAAGAAGGGGCAAAGCTATAAATGCTGCTTGCTGCCATAAATTATGTTTGCTCAGGGGTGGTGCAGGAGTAGGAAGCATCAGGTGTGGGGTTGTAACTTGGGCTTCAAATAAAAGCAAGCATCAGAAATGCTTCTTTCTTCAAGCAAACCTGTTGCTGTTTTGCTGTTGCCCCTTGGAGGCTGAAGTGAACCAGTGCACGGAGCTGGCTCCTGCCTCGGGAAATGGGTGCAGGAATTCAGGCTGGGGAATCAATGCACCAGAGTCCCTCCCATGCTGCAAACCCCACCCCAAATACCACTGAGCAGCCCGGCGTGGGGCCCGCCGGGAGAGCTGGGTGCATCATCTGCCTTTAAAATGCAGTTATTAGACAAAAATGCCCATCTGTGTAAAAAAAAAATAGTGTGGGGAAGCCGAGGAGAAACTGATGCAAATTTCTCAGAGTTCCAACGAGAACAGACAAGTCGGTTGGTGCAGATCAAGGCAGGAATTTTCCACGGGGCCTTAGGGAGCTGGGCTCTGCTGGAGGTGAAGGGAGCAGGGGGTGGGTGGTGGGTGCCCCTCGGGGGGGGCCTGGGCTGGCTGTGGGGCAGGCACAGGGAGCACAGCTCAGCTGTGGGGTGCTCCAGCTGCCTGGACAGATGGATGGGAGCGTTTGGCTGAGGGGTGACTCCGTGTCCTCTCTGCTAGTGGCACTGTGTGAGGTTTCCCTAGGGCACAAACCTGCACTGGTCCCGGCAGGGCTCATGGAAACCCATCAGCAGAGGGAGCTGGGGGGGCTGGAGCTTGGCTGGAGCTTGGGTGTTCACAGGTCTCATGGGTGCTGCGTTCCCCTTCCACCCCTGGCAGATCCAGCTCAGAGCCTGGGCATGTACCCCGTGGGTGCAGGAGGTGGTGGGTGGGGAGCCCACCTTGCCATCGAGTGGAGCCCCACCAAGCAGCCTCCTGCTCATCTGGACTTTGCTGTTCACTCCCAGGGCTCATCCCTGGCTCGAAGCAGGGGCAGAAGAGCCCTGGGCCCCAGCTCACCCCACACTGCTCCACGTTTCCCTTCCAGGCAGGGGAGTGTGCCCCTTCCTGCCGCAGCCTCCCCTCCGGCTGTGGGTGAAGCTTTGCCCCACCGAGGAGAAGCTGTGGGACCTGTCCCCCTCTAACCACCTCTCCCCTCTGCTCGCTGGGGCAGAGCAGCTCCAGGAAACTGCTGGAGCATCCACAAAGTGCTCAGGACTCTGCCAAGCTGCCTGCGTGTCCTGCCTGCTGCTCCTCTCCCTCTGTGCCCCTCCCTGGCCGTTCTAGTCCCGTGGCCTTTCCTGGGCAGGGGCTGCTCTGGCTGCAGAGCTGACATCAGAGGCTCCTGGGCCACCTTCAGCACTTTCACCATCCCATCCTGTGACCCCGAGTCCTTTTCCTGCCCTGTGCCCCCTCTGCCAGCCTGTGAATCCAGGACTTGCTGTGGAGAGGGAACAGCAGGGTCCAGCAGAGCTGATGGAAGGTGCTGGCCACCAGCAGCCCCGGGGGGAGAGCAGGTCCCTGCTTCTTGCTCCTGCTGGAACATCTCCTCTCTGTTACTGCCACGTTGCCCACATGGCCAGTGCCAGGGCAGGCTTTGTCCTGGAGCTCTGTGGTACCAGCAGACAGCACAACCCCTTCGTTGCTCACTGGGGGGCAAACGTGTGTTCCTTGCATGACTTTTTTTAAACAAAAGGTGTATTTAAATGTTTTTAATCGCAGCAGGAGCTTGGCCAATCTCAGCTGCCCAGTGCTCGGGGGAAGTTTGCTGCTGCTGGAACCTTCTGCTGTGGGGATACTGAGTCATCAGCCACAGCCTGACCTGCTGCTCGAGCTGCAGATGCCCAAACTGGACAGCAGGCTGGAGCCTGAGGAAGAGTCAGGGCCCAGCCCTCACTGGGGCTTCTCCCTTCCCCACCAGCCACACCAGCCCCGGGGAGCTCTCCCCAGGGGGGTGCCCTCAGCCTCTCCCTGCTTGAAGAGCCACTCAAATGGACACTGTAGGTTGTCTTGGCACCTGGGATGAGGTGAGGGGGAGCTGGAGGGGACTGGAGGACTGAGGGTAATTTGGTTTAACACAAAAGTATCCCCCAACCCTCACTGCTCCTTCGGGAGCTGCCGGCTCCTCACGAGCCACAGATCATTCCCCTGCTGCATCTGCTCCCAGCAGCTCAGCTGAACCCAACTTCCCCCCGGGCCCAGGCCTGACAAAGAGCTCGTCTGGACAGCTTTGTCTTGGAGTTAAAAAGTAGAAGACTTCAAAAAGAGTGAGTCACGTGTTTGGTGGCTCTCCCTGCCACCCCCTCCCTCCCTTCCAGTCGAATACACAAACAGAAATGCTGCACGCTGCTTTAATTCTCAGTCACAGTTTCTGAAAATGAATTCCAAGATACAGTAACGGCACCTTAGTGCCCTACACAAAGCAAGCCTTCAGCAAAAGGGCAGAGCAGCTCAGATGGTGTAAAAATATCTCTTAAATAAAATAGTTTCTCTAGGAGAGCAAGCCGTGTTGTACGTCTCTAGGTCCTTAGAATCATTTACAGAAGGCAGAGGCCTGGTTGTACAACCCACAGGGCTAGAAAAGAGTCAGTAGTCTCCATTCATGCTACAAAGTTAGAAAAGGGAGAAGTTCAGGTGGCCGGGGCAGATCTCCAGACCCAAGCAGTGGATGCAAGGAGTGCACTAACCAGTGCCCTGAATTTCAAAGTCAGGAAGTTCAACACTTCCAGCCCATGAAGTCAGGAAGAGGCAGATTATAAGGACCCACCTTCTGAGAGTCATTCTATTGATTGTAACTCACTCCTTTCAGTTGGCCCAAAAGAACAACTCCTAGCAATAAAGGACTAGCTGTTTTCTTTGTTCCAGTTTGGAGCTGTGCTTTCAGTTTTACATTTTGGGATCATGGCTGCTCCTGCAGTTCCAACAATGGAAAACCATCATGCTAGGGTCTGAAAAAACAACTCCAGGACTCCCCCAGCCCTTTTTAGTAGCAGATCAGCCTTTAAATGCTCAGACTGTTGAGCACCACACAGCAGCAGTCGCCTCTCCAGCCAGGGTTAAGCTCTTCCCACCCCAGAGCATCAAGCTGAAGTGAAAACCAACAAAAAAAAAGCCTCCAACCAACCCAGATAAAAAAAGCATTTAATGTCCTGGACCACAAGCCTTTAAGGCTCGTTTCCTACACCACTGAGATGCTTTATTATTCACACCTCACTCCTCATATCCAAACTACAGCTCTACTCCTGCACTCACAGTTCCTGCAGCATCAGGGCTGCACATACCAAGAGGAGATTTATATAATCTAATTTACACTGTTTATTAAATAATATAATTTATTAGCTGAGAATGCTTTGAATCCAGGGGGAGGACTGGAGAAGCCTTCCACACTGGGCCCAGCCTACTCTACAGCATCCCTGGAGGGATCCTGCTGTTTAATGTGAACACACCCACCCAAAACAGGACACTCTCCAAGAAGAAAGTCAAACACATGACAGGAGGAGCTTTGGAAAGGTAGGGAGGCAAAATGATCCTCGAGATCTGCCTAGAAGTAGCTAAATAGTGCAGTGAAATGCTTTTAAATACCACAGACACCTCCACTGATTGACTGGCAGCCAGTTTTATGAGCAGCTCTGAAGACAATTTCTAGCTGAGCTTTAGGCAGGGTCCCCAGGCCAGCCTGGCCCACACCAGCACGGCCAGTTTCCAAGTGGGCAGGGGCATCCTGGCCTTCATTTGCCCCTCTTGCCACGGCCTCTCCTGGAAGAGGGTTTGCCCGTGCCCCCCGTGGAGGAGCTGGCTGAAGATGCCACAGCAATGTTGATCTGTCCCTCCTGGATCTCCTGCCTGGTCTCAGCTGGGAGGTGGTTGATTTTCTGTTGGGTCTCCAAGTAGAACATGACATCCCTCAACTGCTCCTGGATCTCAGAGATCTGCAGGTCCTTCTGCTCACAGGTTTCCTTTAACACTCTCTCCTCCTCCTTCAGTTTGTTCTGAAGCAAGGCTTGATTGGCTCGCAGACACTTGTTCAGCTCTTGCTCCTCCTTCAGCTCGTTGGAAAGTTTTGCCACTTTGTTGTTCAGCTGAGAACACCTGGCAAAGAGAGGGCACAGGTCAGGAGAGCAGCACAGCACACTGCCACCAAAAACCCCTGGAGTTCCCAGGGCCTTAGAGCAACTGACCCCCAGCTAGCCACACCAAGACCACCTGGAATTTGGTTTTCTGGCAAAAGATGGGCATGGGGAAGTGACACAAGAGGATTGTGAAGTCCCCCCAGGGTTTTCTGCTAGCAGTTGTTTGCCTGTGTGGTGAAGCAGGATCCCTTCCCTTGTCCCTCAAATTGCACAACCCAGGAAAATCCCATCTTGTCCCAAACACCACCAGGGCAGGCAGGTGCATTTGGGAGCCCAGCACTGTAACCTTGAACCAGTGCAGCTTTTGCAATAGGTGCCAAAAAAGGGCACAAAGATTACACAGGGTTGTGAGAGAGCAACGAGGGGGTCCCAGACGCTGGCTCCTGCCCCACTCCCAGTACAAGACCCCAAAGACACCCCCTCACTTGGAGGCAAGATGCTCCCACAGGGGTGTCAGCAGCCTCACGTGTCACAAACAGCACTTCCCTGCTCCTGCCTCAGCTGAGAGCTGCCATCCTGTGCAGCCTCCCCTCTGCCTGGTGGGGTGAGCTGTGGGAAGCACAGCCCCTGGGCTGGGAGGAGCAGAGGCTGGACACCCCTCGTGGAGCTGCTCCCTGAGCTCAACACCTCCCCCTGTGCTGGGGAGAGGTCTAAGCTCTTGGGGAGGACCTGCCCAACAGAGCAGCATCTACTCCTGAGCAGGCAGGAGGATTCCTGAATGCTAAAACATGCCCATTGTGTAAAAAGAGCCAAGAGCCCCAAAACTTCATTCCACCTTCCATTTGTGAACACCTACAGAAACAAGAGCTTGGGTTTGTTTTTTTTAAATAAGCTGAGTTCTCAGTGTATCAGTTGAAATAGCTCAAAACTGCCCAGGAATAGCAAGGGGTGTGTTTTTTTTTTTTTCCCTTTTTGGATGTCAGTGTGGAGCTTTAATGGCTGCATGGAACTGGAGCTGGCAGCAGTACCCACTTCCTTTCCACAGACTGCTTTTCTTTGAGCAAGTCATTCAGCCTCTGTTCCAGACTGTCACACTTCTCAATGGTCTCTTTAAATTTGGTCTTCATGTTGTTAATCTGTAAAAACAAACACACAGGCATTTCAAATGGAGCAAAGTCCTCTGGGCTTCCATTAGGACATTCAGCCCTCTGCAGCAGCTTCTAGACTTTGACCAGTTCCTACACCCAGGTAGGGTGAAGCTCTGAGTCAGGAAAAGGCTTCGTTTGGATGAAAACCCCCCTGGGTTGGGCTTTGGGTACCCCAACGAGGAGCCACGTTGCTGGGGGAGCTGCTCACACGACAGCAGCTCAGGCTGCAGATCTGTGCCAGGAGCCCCATTCAAGACAAAAGCAGCAGCAGCCCCTTCACTCCTCACCCCCCACAGCTCCGGGCTCTCAGCCGCTCGCTCGGATGTTTTCCTAGCTGTCAGCACACTTCAGCTGCCACCTGAAGGCTTTGCAAAGCCAGGCTTTTGCTCAATTTAAACCAAACCTCTGATAAGTGTGGTCAAAGTCTGATAATCAACGTGCTCCTTTGCTCAGCACTGACTCAGCAGCCTGCTGTCAGTGACCTACTGACACCGATCTCTCACTCATGCAAAACGCAAACAGAAACACACGTAAGCTGCCTTCCTCTTCCCCTCTCCCTCAGTCCTCCTGCTGCTGCTGCTGAAGAAACCCGAGCTCCCCTCCTCTAGGTGCTGCACAGAACATGTCAAAACCTCCAGCAGAAGATGTATGGGAGATTTATAGCTGGGGATACTTGTTTTCCCTGTATTAGTGTCAAAAGCGTTGCTTGTGTGTAGCAGAGGCAGGAATTCAAAGGAAAAAAAATGTTTTCCTGGAGGAGCTATCTGAATAAATGTCAGTGTCAGCACACATGGTGCCTTCATGGATGCCAGGGTGGATGCAGAGCAGGTTTTTAAGCCTTCCAGCCTTCATCTGTGGCTGTTTATGCAGCTGATGGTTAATTTGGGGAAATCACCCGAGCACCGATAATGGGATGCGCTGCATGGTGGCACTGAGCCAGACGAGATGCACACAGAGCAGGCACCATGAATAAAATTTTAAGGATCTTTAAACAGGAAGCTGTATTTGGGGCATACAGGAGGATAAATTGTAGCCATTTTGCCTTGGAGTTGCTTCGTGGATCATTTGAGATGATTTTTGATGCATCTTCTGCTTTTATAGGGCCCTCTGTAAGGTTTTGGGAACCGTTCTGCACACCAAGGTCAACGATCACTATTTCAATGGTCATAATTTCTCCATTTATGATGCTACTTAACTGCAGGTACTAAATGGTTAATTAGAAGTCATGTAGAGAGTTCAGTTAAGGACTCAACCCTAAATCCTGACTCACTTTAAACCCAGTTGAAAGGCTCTAGGTAGAGTGAAAAGCTTTAAAATATGCTCACTGGATTTTCGCTCACGACATTTTGAAGCAGTCCTGCCTCCAGGATTTTTTTTCTTTTTAATAGGAGGAGACTCTGAACTTTTCCCAGAGGGTGATGAGGAGAGAGAGAGGGGATCAAAAAGAAAGGGCAAATCAATATGCATTTGGAGCAGAAAGGCAGCTTCCACTTTTCTGCAGGCGAGCAAATTAAAGTCATATTGTCTCTGCTACGCTAACCCTCCCCAGAGACGCCTGGCAGTGCAGATGGATGGCACAGAGCAGGGCTCCTGCAGCACCACAGGCCCCTGCCCACCACTGCTGCAGCTCCCCCAGCAGCACAGCTAAATCAACCTTCCATCTAGGTGCCAATCTACCTCCTTCTGCACCACCCAGCAGCAAATCACTGGGTCTGAGCGTGGAGATAAGGGATGCACCTTGGAGGCAATTTTCTCAGCCGGTAGAGAGAGGAGCAGGGTGAGGTCAGGGCATGCAGCACCCAGGCTGGGAGAGGGGCTGGGCAGCTCCCTGGCCCAGTGGTTTCCCTGTGCCCAGTGGTTTCCCTGGCCCAGTGGCCTCCCTGTGCCCAGGGGCCTCCCTGGGCAGAGCTCACCTCCTCAGCTGTGTCCTTCTCTATTCGGACGATCTTGTTCTCCCAGTAGATGCGCTGGGACTCCAGCTGGCTCGTGAGCAGGTAGGAGTACTGGCAACACAGGAGACACACAGAGCAGTCAGGGTGCCCCAAATCAGGAGCCCAAGGGCTTCCCCTACACACATCAATCTCATCAGATGAAACTGGGCGTGCAGGACACTCTGAACATGTGTGCAAGCTGCAGATCCAGCAGATGGTTTCACCAATTTGATTTCAAAATCCAATCACTTGATGTTTTTTTTGAAGTCAAGGAGAGCCTCTGGAGCAGCAACAGCAAGAGTCATAGAAAAGTTCCACCAAGCTGTACCCAGGGTTGTGCCAAGAGCTTTTTTAAGAGGAGGCAGATTCTTCATCTGTGAGTTCTACCCTCCACAGGAAGATGAAGCATCAACTGGCACAAGAGTCTGAGACCCCAAGGGCCAGGCTGCTGAGTTTGGGTTCCCAGCCCAAAACCCAAGGCAGAAGGGCAAATGCACCTCTCTGGCCTCACTGTAAGAATGGCTCTGGGAAAGCATCCTCAGCTGTGTAAACTACTCACAACTCTTCTTCTCCAACACGTTTGGCCCATTCCAATCTTATTTTGGCAGCTGAACAAAGCTCTTTGCCTTACATCCCACCTTTTCCCTTCTGGTTCTGCAAATGAGTTATGAGAAGCTTGGAAAACAAGACCCATTTCTTAGCACCAGGCTAATAAGCAGCCCATTAGGCTTTCACTACAGAATTAAACACGTGCAGAAAGCCTCAAACACTCTCAGTAGTTTATCTGAGAGCCAAAAAGTACACTGCCAAATTAATTCTTTCTAGAAATATTTAGATCTCATAAGCTAGACAGAGAGGTCTTACATAGTCTAAACAGCAACCTTGGAGGGGAAAAAAAAAGGGTTAAAAATCACTGGTTTAGCATGTAACCATTCCTCAAAACTCATGGCAAAGCAACCAAATATTTGAGCAATAGGCTTCTGAAGTCTGGTCTCTGTGGGCTGTTCCTCCTCAGATACCCTTGTCTCTAATGCAGCTGAAATCATGCTGCAGTGTATCTGCTCAGTGGAGCAGTGATTGTGAGCTTCTCTCCTTTACCCTTCTCCTTAGGATAGAAGCAGCAGGCCAACAGGTATTAAAAAAATATCTGTTCAAGAGAAGGGAGCAGAACAGGGCTGGTATCAGCCAAGCCCCTCAGCTTTCACTGATAGCCAAGGTAAGCACACAGGGATGGATTCCCACAGATTTGTTCATTTTATAAGCTAAACGACTCAGCCAGACCCTTCCACACACATCCTGGCACTTCAGCCAAGCCCCATGTCCAGGAGGAAGGGGCTGGTGAGTGAGTCTGGGCATTGGGACCCATTTGTCTCTCCAGGGACCTGAGTGTTTGTAGCAGCACAACCAGCTCATCTTCAGTCCACTGGTGCACACAGGAGGAGGCTGCAGCCAGCGTGCACTTCACTGCATTGGCTCTGCAGAGCCAGGAAGAGCTGGGTTGGTTGTTGGGTTGTTTGGTTTTGTTTTTTTTTTAAAGAAAAAAGCAGCAGTAAACTCATCCTGCTTCTGCCTGAAGACAATTGCCTACACGCAGGGAGCAGGGCTGCTGCACAAGCTGATGTCATTGTCCTGTGGTCCTAGCTGGAGCTGAAACGCTTCCCCACAGCAGCACAACACGGAGCCAAAATATTTACCTCTAATTGTAAGGCATCAATTTTCTCTTCCTGACAGATATCTCCCTCACACTCGTACTGAACTATCTTCCCGTCGGTTTTACTTGCAACCAGTCGATGGACGTAGTTATCTGAAGAGAAAGAATTCAACCACAGGGAGTTTTAGCTGAAGAACCCCCAGGTTGATGCCAGTGGAAACACTTTCTGCAGCACAATTAACCAGGCAGGCTGCTGCCACAGCACATTAGCCCGGCACAAAGCCAGCGTCAGCCGCAGCCTTTGTGCAGACACCTTGCAGGGTATTTGTTACAACAGCCCTCAGGGCAGGGGGGTGGCAAGGGAGTAAAACATTCCACAGAGGCTATAGGACCACCCCCGTTCATTACAGCATCACGTTCTCCCTCCTCCATCTGCTACAGAGCCACAAAAATGACGAGGAGCCAGGAGAGGGATGTTCCCAAAAGAGGAGGTGGAAGTCCGGACTCAAACCCCTTAACCTCTGAGCAAACTCTAGCCCAGATACTCTTACCAAGGGGTCCCAAAACAACAAGGCCATCGAAGTGCTCACCTCCAGCATAGTCCCAGACCCTGTGGTTGGTCAGCTGCATGGCATAGGTGTGCTGGGTCTCCTCGAAGTGCTTGTAGGCGTGGCGGCTGACGTAGCG